CCCCCCCCAAAAAAAAAAAAAAGAAAAAGGCTTACCTTTCCCCTACAAAAAAGAGAATGGCAACTTCCTGCGGTAGAAACAGTTGCAACTAAGTTTATGTGCCTGTTAGTCAACATATTATAAATGATCTCATCTCCTTCTCACGCTCAAGAAGCAGGGAGTCGATGAAAACCTGGATTTTTTTGTTGGTCAGTAAAAAAGATACACCTCAAGAGTTCCTCCTACAATTACCATTTGTATATCCAGTCCAATGACGAGGTATATGAGTGCCACAAAGAACTCCATCTCTCTAATTCCAAGAGCTTTAAAACTAATAATAGTTTGAGAAGGAAGAATTATACATTTTTTTTTTTGTCATCCATTGCAAATGCAACAAACCATTTAGAAGGTAATTCAACCGAAAAATGGCCGCAGACCCATTTAGAATGTAATTCAGCAAAAAAAAAAAAGGGTCGTAGACTAGCCAGATTCTACACATTTACTTTATTTTCATATGTACCACGTTTACTTTATTTCCATCCTAGCAGTCCTCATATGTAGCACGTTTACTTTATTTTCATCAAAGTCCAACTATTGCATTGCCAAGGCTAGCTCATTGTGAATGAAACTAGGAAACCTCTTTCATCCTGAAATTTTCTATTACCTGACAACGTGATTTTGGTACCAATTAAAGAATCCGAATGCATTAAGAGATAAAACATAGCATTACTAAAAAGAAGCAAGTCAGAGAAAGAAAAGATCTGTTTATCGTGTGACTTAAAAGAATTCTAGAAATCAGAAAGTCTCTAATGGAACAAGACATATCAATCCTCAGATATATGCAAACTTATGTACCTCATCACCAATTTCATAGGATAAATAAATTGGGCAAACTGAGAAAATTAGCAACCCCTAAACCAGCAGGCCAGCTTCTGTCCGCATCTCTATCTGACCTAATACCCCATGATAAGATCTCTGCTCGATATAACAGAAGCTAGCAAGATGCATAATAAAGACAAATGGAAGATGAGAACAGACTCTTTAAGTAAAAATTGCAAAGGGAACAGAAATCAAGAAAAGACATAAGGAGCAATGTCGCATTGACAATCTCTTTTTTTAAACCTTTTTTTTTTCTTTATCTTCTTCCTTTCTCTTTTTATCATTCTAATAATCATTATTCGGAACTGCATTCATCTTGCTACCATTTCGTGTCTCTCACGTTACTTTGACACCAAAAGGTCAAAAAATATAAAAAATGATGGAAGACTTGATGATGCTGGAAAATGTCTTGCCTTCATACTATCCACCATCACATGCAAAGAAATGATGAAATCATTTATAAAAGGCTTGCTATCAGCTCCACGGTCTCCAAATCAACAAACAACCATACTGATTATATAGATATTTTTTATTTCGCCAATCAGAAATTTAGAGGTACTTATATTATTTCTCAGAGTAATTTGCAGGTATATATTTTCAGAGAATTCCGGTATTTTATTAAAAGACCAATAAGATGACAATCAAACAATAAGGAGCACGATCAGTCCAGTGAGGTTCAAGACTTCAAAACTGAAACACACAGAACTACATAGGAGAGGAAAAAAACAAAGATAAAACCGGTCCTGGGCTATGAATTCCGAACAAACTCAAACAACATTTATGTTCTTACTCAACACTAGTTTCGATATATAACAGAAAGAAGGAAAAAATATTCTCCTTCCTTCTTTATACTCATCTATCCCTTGACCAAGCAGATGGGAGCAGAATAAAGCATTACCAAAAATAAAGGGGGAGGAGAGGCAACAAGCATCACAAAACCTGGCCATTTTGTTAGGCTTGGCAATCTATGCAACTGAATAAGATTGTAAGATAATTGCAAACAAGAAAAACTGGCATGATAACAAATTTGAGGACGTATAATTTTGACGAAAGCTATCTTCATAATTTATAGTAAAAGTGCTAATTAAAGAACATTATAATTGTATCCCAGAAAGCAAGACGCAATCGGATCCATAATCACAGATATTATTGCTAGAGCATAATCACCAATGATCATTACTTATTCTATAAGAGCCAACAGAAAATGTCCATACTATATTCAGTATCGCCTACTTTATTCATGTAGCAATTCATAAGATTTCAACAAACTACAAGAAACTTATTCATTTCTTAATTCTACGAATTTTCTTATTCCCCCAAACTTCCAATCTACCTGCAGGGCATCCACATGGAGCTCTGAAAATAAGCACAGTCCGTCCATTACGCGGCGCCATCCTCTTCAACTCTGCCTCCAACTCTTTTCGTTCTTCCCCTAACACCAGCGGCTTCACTCCATAATCATAAAACGAGCTCGAATTCAAATCCCGATCCGATGGCAAACACTTTATGCAGTCCTCCGATTCTAATTGTATATCAAATTCAACTGCTCTTCTTAAACCCTGACAATTCGGATTACCACACTTCCTCGATCTCAAATCAGTAATTTCCCAAATTACAATCAAAATAATTACTCCAATCAACGCCACAAACAATCCGACGAAATACGCTACAGGCGAATTGTTGATCACCTCGATCAAAACTTCAACTATAATCGGAGAAATTTGGGTGAAAATTAATTTGAAATAAGGGATTAATAGAAACCCTAGTGATCCGAGTACTAAAAGTAATATAAATGCATCAAGTGATACAGCAAAAGGAGAGTGATCACAGCAAAAGGAATTTTTCTGATTATTATATGAATTTTTTTTGTTGATATTGGAATTGAATCTGATCATGTTTTTGTGCTGCTCATATGCCCTACAAAACTCAATCAAACTTCGACAATCAACCATTTGAATACCCAATTCGATGAGATTCAGCCCTTTGACACTCCGATTTAGAAGAAAAATCGAGACAATTGGAATGGAAGAGTGAATTTGCGTTGACTTGAGCTTGATTTTGTATATGGAGTTTAATTGGAAGAAAATTGTGGAGGAAAATGAAAAATTAAGTGAGAAGTGGAGGAAGAGAGTTGAAAAGAGAATCCAGCTGAAAAGATAACATAAGAGGGCGTGGATACCGGAGGGAGATCGCAAACAAAATGCACAGAGAGAAAGTAATGTACGTACGTAATATTTAATTTAAGGAGTTTGCGTAATTAATTGTTAATGACTTGTTTAGGGAATGGGAAAAGAGAGAGATAAGAATGAAATTATTGATGAGTTAATGAGTGATTTGAATTGAAAAGCCACATGAAAATTAGATTCAATGTAATCCTAACTAATTAAATCATTTGACTTGTTTGTCAATTGAAGGGGCACAATTACATGTACACGCTCCAAGAGAACAAAAACGTGACTTTACGAAAACAAATTATATTTCTTTTTAAATTTTTTTTTTTTCTGTTGCAAATAGGCATATTTTAACGAGATAATCAAGCTTTAACCTACGGTAAGTTTGAAGTCGGCGGCTATATGAATCACTAGTTTCGTATTACTCTATTTAAGATTATAAAATAAAATAAAAGTTGTTTATATTTTTTACTAATATATAAATCTCTGATAAAATCAAAAGATTCCTAAAAATATATTGAACTAAATTGACATTTTAATGTGACTATGAGGGTGTTTGGCTAAGCTTATAAGTTGGTCAAACTGGCTTATAAGCACTTTTTGGCTTATCTACGCGTTTGGTAAAATTAAAAGTGCTTATAAGTTAAGTGCTTATAAGCCAAAAATAAGCCAAAAGCCATAAGTTGGTCTCCCCCAACTTATCAAATTTCAGCTTATAAGCACTTTAGGTTTGACCAAAATATTTATTATTTTATTCCTAAAATACTTTTTTTAAAACAAAACTCTTTCGTATAACCAATTCTTTAGCTGCTTATTATTAATTTCAGCACTTTTATCCAAACACGTAACTGTTTATTTTTTAAATCAGCTTCAGCACTTAAAAGTGCTTTTCAGCAGCTAATGCTTATCAGCTACTCTAAATCAGCTAAGTCAAATGGGCTCTATAACTTTATCCTAATTAATTGGTATACCTACATAGACTTTTAATTTATTGTACCATATTTTTGGTAAAGTCTACCTATATTCCAAGATATTTGATATTTAATGCTCTTTTCCTTCCACTTTACGAGACATAATTTGCGAGGGTCAAACTACTTACTTTTTGGTGTAAATTTAAATTTAGGGTCTTTGAGTTTCTTGTAAAAAGAAATACTATATATTTAGAAACTACATAAAATACATTATAAGTTAACAATTCAAAAATAGTTAGAAGTATTTAAAACGAATTATAATAAAAGAAAAATTCCTTTGATTCTCAAAATAGTAATTATATCACATAAAGTGGAATAAAGAGACTATTTATTTTCAAAACTAGAAATATCTAATTTTGTAATTACTATTTGTATAATCACGTTGACATACACTGTGATTACTTGATTTTAACAAACAAGCAGATTATGCTGGGTAGTTATTAGATCATGTAATTACTACACAGTGATGTAAAACACATGGGTGAAAGCCCGTTATAAGCATGAGCAAAGCTATATTGGTCCAAGGGTGGTCAACTGAACACCTTTCGCTAAAAAAATATAGTATATATAAGATAAAATATTAATTCTTGTTATTAATTAAAAAATAGACTTTGATTAAATTTTCTGACTTGGCCACGGTTAAACCATCCTCAAGCCCTTCACATTCCAATTGCGGCCACTGCCGATAAAGAGAAACAGCAGACAGAGGTTGGATGCACTAAATGGGCAACTCATTCGCTGTCACCTGACAATTGCAGGGAAACCTCACCGTCCCACGTTTTCGTATTCGTATTTCTGTTACTAATGAACTAAACTCAAAGTTGAGGGGAAATTATTTATTGGTGAAAAAAGAGTAAACTCAATTATTTATTGGTTTTAACCGCTTATCTTTTTTTAATCTAGTTTATTTATCATTTTTTGGATCAAATCAGTTAAAATCAAAAGAAATAACGAGCTTGGCTCCAAAAATAGTGCCTCCGGGGACAGAATAAAAATAATATAAAGAGCAAGCAAAGTATTTTATTTAGCTTGAGAATGGAATATAGCATAAGTTTTGCCAAGAATTTCGTATGTTACAATGGTTGTTGAGTCTACTATTTATAGCTATACCTAGGAAAACAAGATCCTATGATCAAGCCCTTCTTAAATGACAAATAAGGGGGGCAATGATGAATATATAACAGCAGGCCATGAATTCAAATATTCACTGTAACGGCTGCCTAATTAATGCCAGAGAATATTCTTCATTGAATGTTATCCAATGGCAAGCATTTGATTCTTCTCACGTTGATCATATTCTTTTCGTGGTCAGCTCGATGTCAATTGCAGTTGTTGTTTCCGGCACTGGTTATTATGCAATTTATTTTCTTTCTGTCTTCAATTCCACGTGTCATGTTGTCATTCGATCATTTAATGTAAACCAATTTTACCCCATACACCTACTATCACCACCATCACTCCACATATAACAACCACCATAATCAATTATCAACACCAAATACCACAAGTCAATCACTACTAGCCACCACCTTACAACCTAGTACTTTATGGATATAATATCTAAATTATTTTATTTGAATTTTATATTTATTAATTTCTAATAAAGATTATTTTCTCAATATTTGTCTGAGAAAATAAATAGTTTTAATCATCCAGTACTAAGATTTAAAAATAATATCTTTAGATTTAGGTGTGTGTTCAAATTTATATATTTAAAAAAATTCTTACATTTGTAGAGCGCGATACTGCCATCATATAAACGCCTAACCCAGTACATGGGCTATAAGTTCTAGTCCGAGAAAATAATATCTGCTAGAGGATGAAACCCCAAACCCAACCCTTAGAATAAGGGTACCGGCCCGGGAAAGTGGGGCAAGTGGGCTAAATGGGCCGGGACCGATAGGACCGTTAGAGGTGGGCTTGGGCCGGTCTCATGGGCCGGTTCTTGCCCTTGAACCGTTAGGACAGGGACTGTTTGGCACGCCAAGGGACCCGGACCGGACCGGTCCCTTGGCGGGCCAAACGGGCCCAACGGTAATTTTTTTTTTATAAAGGTAGTCGTTTGGCTATTTAAAAAAAACAATCGTTGGGCTTTAAAAAATAGCCACTGCCTATTTAGAAAATAGCCATTTAACCCCCTCCCCCTCCCCCCAACTTTATTTTAACCCCAAACTTTTTATAATTACACTTTTTTCCTATTTTCAACTATAAATACCCTCTCATTCTTTCATTTTTCTTACAAATCAATATCAATCTATCACAATCTCTCTCTAATTTTCTTCTATACTTGCTACTATTGCTTACTTTATTCCAAAAAAATAGTAAGAAAATATTGAGGTTGTTACAATTTGTGAAAAAATTGTGAAGTTGGTGAATTGAAGTCTTCAAGTCTTTAACGATAATCGATTTTCAACAAGTTGTTCGTCAATTCGTAAACTCGTTCCAACTTTTAAGTCTTATTATTATAGGTTTTGTTTGTTTTATTTATTTGCTATTACTTGATTAATTAATATGTCTTCCGTAAAAATATTTTTGGTAAAAATAAGAATAAAAAAAAATCCAAGAGTGGCGAATTTAGTGGTAATGTTGTTCCTCCTCCCCTGCCCCCGACTCCCCGAACCAAATCCCATATCCGTTCTACACCTGCTATTCTTGATACCGATAATAGTTGATTACAATTTACCGATAGTCAATTTTGCCATAATATTGCACCCAGTAAACAATTAGACCATGAATTAATGAATGCTCTTTATTATACCAATTATAATACTATTGATGAAAATGGTGATGAGGAAATTGATCTTGATGAAACTCAACCGGATGATGATACACCCACTAGTCTTGCTCCCGATGTTACCCAACTAGTGATAACGCTGCTAATCCAAATGATGACCCATATGATATTCCTGTTACTGCCCCTTCTTTTTCTAAACAACCTACCAAATGGCAGAAAACATCTCCTGTTTGGCCATTTTTTACTCAACTAGTTCCACAAAATAAGGCTAAGTGTAAAACTTGTGGTATGGAGTTAGCTTTTAAATATGTTGGATCGCGGTCAGGGACAGNGAGGACAGGAACTTTGACTAGACACATAAAAGAACACCCTAAAGATAGAGTTAGATATGAACTTCTAAAAGCTTTGGCCGAGGGGAAAAGTGTATCTAGTCCTAGTCAGGCTGACCCTAGTACCGGTTCAAATCAATTTCAACCGAGAATTAATACTGTTACCGGTGGCATTTTATATTATGATTCCAAAAAAGATTGGGAAGAATTGGCAAAAATGGTAATTGTTATGTGCTTACCCTATAGTTTTCCTTCTGACCCTTTGTTTGTGCGTTATATTAGAAAAAATTTTAATCCTACTTACAAAGGTTTTCCTCGCACAACCGTAAAGAGCGATATTTATAAATATAAGCATGAATATGAACAATATTTATGCTATTTATTTACTCATATAAATTATTGTGTTGATATTACAACTGATATTGGTAGAAGTGACAATGATTGTGATTACCTTACAGTTACGAGTCATTGGATTGATGAGGATTGTATAATGCAAACGGGCATAATTGCTTATAGAATAATTTCTTCACGTCACACAAGGCAGTTTATTCCTAGCACCGTTACAGATATTTGCAGATATTTTTGCATTAGTGATAAAATAATGTCGGTTTCAATGGATAATGCTACTAATAACACAAAGCTATATACTTGCTTACCACTACGCTAAATCCTGCATTTAGTAACATTTTTCATGTTAGATGTATTTGTCATATTTACCATTTAATTATGGGTGATGGTATGAGAATTTTAAATATTCAAATTGAAAAGGTCAAAATGTCTCTTAACTGACTTTTTCATTCAAATTGTAGAAGTAGACTTAGAGTATATCTTAAAAGATGCGATGAATGTGGCCTAAGAGAAAGAAGGTTCCTAAACCTTGTCCAACTAGATGGAATTACAAGTATGAAAGTTTGGTTGTTACATATGAATATAGAAACCCCATAAACTCAACGTTTAATGCACATGTAAGTGATGATGATGATGATGAGCACCTTACGAATGGGGATTGGGCTAATGTCAAAATGCTTGTTGATTTTTTAGAAAAAAATCATATTGCTACAAATGAATTTTCTGGGCAATATTATCCTACTATTTCTAACTGTTTAGTTTATATTGCAGAACTTGAAAATTTGTTTGCTCATTTTTTAAAGGGTGGGAAAATTTATAAACTTGCTATTGATTCTATGAGGAAAAAGTTTAAAAAATATTCTTTCCCTATTCCCCCTATTTATGGTGTTGCTGCTTTATTAAATTCTTGTATGAAATTAGGAGGCCCTCAATTTTCGTATGAAACTGTTTATAATGGTTTAGCACTTGAAGATGATAAGTTGCCTAAACTTCCGAAAGCAATAGCCTCAATTAGATAAATGCTCAAACTATTTATAATGCTTATTACGTTGCATTATATAATGCTAGACCAAATGTTCCAACTCCTTCTTCTTCTGATTCTCAATCTTTTAAAAGAATTGCGGGAGTAATAGCACTTAGTGCTTGGGCGGGATTTAGGGGTTCTTTTGGTTCTAGTAGCAATGATTTTTCACAACTAAATGAGCTTGAAGTTTATTTGTCGCAGCAAATTGAGGAAGTGAATCCTAACGGCTCCTTTAATCTTTTGCAATGGTGGAAGGACAAAGAAAAATACTTTCCGGTTCTTTCAAGGATGACCCGAGACATTTTAACTATTCAAGCTTCAACAGTGGCATCGAAGAGCGTTTTCAGTCAAGCAAGACTTCAATTCGGTGATTATAGAGCGTCTATGAGGGAGAGCTTGGAAAAATCAGTACTTTTTAGTGATTGGATCCGTTCGGAAAGAAGAAATTTTGGACTTGCTGAATCACAACCAGAGGAAGATGAAGCTTACGAAAAAATGCTAAGCTGAACTTGCGGAGGATGCTGCTTCGCCCAACAATGGAAGGATTTATGAAGTTTGTAAGAGATATCTTGTAACTTGTATGATCAAAAATTAGTATGTATTATGTAACTTGTATTTTGGCACATCTTGATTAGTTGCTTTTTCTTCTCAATGGTGGTATTAACACCTTCTTGTGCTCATTCCATAGGGGGGAGGAAGACTAAGAAAGATATTGCCATATTTTTTTAATGCTAGAATAATATTGCAAGGCATTGCTTTGAATATCTCTTTACAATATTTTCGTCTTTAAATTTGAATTAAAAAATTTAGGTCACAGTTCTATAATAAATTTACAAGGCATTGCCTTAGATATTTTTTTAACATCTTTTTGTCTCTAATTTCTATTAAATTTTTTTTTAAAAAGTCAATATTTAGCCGTTGGGCCCACTTAGCCCGCGGGCCCCGCCTGTTTATCTCGGGATCATGAGTCCGTGGGCCTGGTCCCGGACCGGTTCCTACAAAGACCGTTTAGCCCGTTTATTTAGGACCTGCCCGGGACCGGGACCGCGCCCCACTTGGCCCGTTTAGGGCCTGGACCGGCCCACATGCCACCCCTAGATATTGCCAATCACTATCAGCCCCTCCTATACTTCTTTTTTTCCCCTCACTAAACAAGGCAAAACCTCCAAAAAAATTCCGTATTTCACCACCTCCTTTGTTTCAGACACTCTAATTTCAATCAACATTAACCAAAAAAAAATTACCAACCATTCATTTGTTGTCTTTCTCACTTATTTTTTTCACAAAAAGATTCCCATTGTTGGGATATATACTATTAACCATGGATTTGATTTAGATATAGTATTTATTATGATAATATTGTTCATTCAATTTTAATAAAGTTTTAATTGTTCATATATTAGTCGGTGTCCTTTGCTTATATAGTAGATGATTTAGTGTATAGAGTTTAGCTTATACACGGAAGATTAAATCATCGGTTCTTATAAGTATAAAGTTTGAGTTCACAATCTAATGATGGAATTGGACAAACCATCAAGAATGATTGTAGCACAAGATTAAATATAATTTATCTTGATTATGGGAATGGTTTAATTCCAACTCCTTGTGCTAGTACATTTTGTATGTATTGAACGAACCAAGTAGAGATAAGTATTTTATACTGACATAATAAAATAAACTCTCTAGCCATTAAATGTACTTATACTCTTAATCTTGATATAATTATTATTAGCTGTGTCTATTATTATTGTTTTGATTTGTTAAAAGACGAGATTCTTTCGTGGGTCAATATGCCTGGTAAATTGGATAATAATAATGTACGTTGGCGAAGTAATAGTTAGTTGATGGAATCCATGTCTCGGTTTAGAGATTGATGATACACCTTTATGAAAGCTTATAAGTTTTCATGTGTAAACCCGGCCGGTGGATTTTGTATCCGACACATGAAATAAGTTAAGCGAAAGTCTAAAGGAAATAATCAATAAATTAAATTGTCAGTAATTTAATTTAATTGATTAGTATCTGAATCTTAACATGGGGAGTTAAATAAGATTTAATGGATGAATTTCGAAATTGAATAAGGAGTGCAATTACGAATTTTTAGTGGAATAATTCGTAATTAATTATGGTAGATATTAATTTCAAAAATTAGAAATTAATTCCATAATTGGAGCCTTGTTAAATTATGTGGCCCTGTTGTACCTAAATAATAGGAAATAAAGGAATCTTTTTTCTGGTGGAAAGGAAAACCTAACAGGTTTTAGAAAAGAGTTTTAACCTTTAAAACTTGTGCTATAAATACATAAGGTTTTCCACCTAGAGGAACAGAAGATAGTGGCCGAAATTTTCAGCCCTTTTTCCTAGAAAATTTCGCCCACACGAAATTACTATTTTCGGGTATTATTTGGGTAACACAGTAGAAGACCGTGGAACGTTCGGAGATCATGATCGTGCGGGTGGTGGAGAATTCATTAAGTTGCTATGGAATTGGAGGCTCACGTGATAAACGAGTTTTGTTCACGCTTCAAGAGGTAACCCGTGAAACTCCGCGTACACTAATTGTCTAAATTACATGTAATTTTGATACTGGGATTGCTTCCGCTGCATATAATAATCCATCACCCATAACCTACCACCATCCATTACCATCAACACAAGACAAAAAACAAATATGAAGGAAAAAAGAAAAAGATACAGACAAGCATTCGTAATGACCCATCATAATGGATGGGGATAAGGGGTATATGTATATTTGGTAAGCGATATCGATATTTAAAAAGTAAATAAAAAAAAAAGGGGGACAAATGATGAGCGGGAGAGATGCGAAGCAACAATAACAAGCCAACACGTCCAAAATTACAAATCGCTTGGACGCAGAGTAGATTTTCAGAGCTTTGATTCAACTTTATGACATTGAAGTAAGGTTCCTCCTTGATAAATTTGTAGTTATAAATTTCTATAAAAAAACAAGAAGGAAATTTGGACAGTTGCTTTAATTAACTTTTGCTCATGACGAGAACAAGAGTTCAATTCTTTATGAACACTAATTTTTTAACAAACTTAGCTAAAAAAATTACAAAACAAATAGACTTAAGGTTGAGATTCGACCTCGTAACCTCCATGAGGCAACAAAGCGCTTGCCCACTCAACCAAAGGAGCCTTCGAACTAATTTGTTATATTAAATTGCAGATATATTTAGGGGATATTATGCCTTATTTGAGTACCATTCCTATGTAGTAGTCGTTGATCGCAGTTTGTAAAGTTTCTTTATTTCTGTGGATCGGAGAATCCTCGATAATATATTAGATGCATCTATAGTTCGCACCGATGAACCCTCGACAGTGTACACACTTAACTTGATACGACCGTACGACCTCGACATAAAATTTTATTGCATATTATTTACATATATAATAAAAATTTCCGACGAAGCGATGTTGGATGACATTGCTTTGGCACACGTTCCTCCGCCCTCGATGAGAATATCATGTAGTAGCGTACACTCGTGCGAATAAATTGTACAATAAATGTATAATTGTGAATATACGTTAATTATACATTATACACTTAGGGATCGTTTGGTTCCTAGTTAGAGTTATGCAAGGGTTTGGCTATGTAGGAATTAGTTTAGCAAAGAGTAGTTATGTAATATTTATGCAGGGTTTAATCAGGAAGAGAATAATGATCCGAACGGTCATTTTGAGTTCTAGCATCTCGTTCTTTGATTTGAGACTTCGAATGATTTCATACAGTGTATTATAACTTGCGTGCATGGTTGGTTTTGATTTTTGAGTTGTTCATGATGGATTTGATAGAGTGGTTCTCAATTTGGAAGAGTTGATCAAGTTTGCTTTTTAAGCAAATAACCTCGAATTAGTGATTTGATGATTCCAATAGGTTCGTATGGTTATTTTAGACTTGGGTGTATGTTCGAATTTGAATTTGGATATTTCTAGAAGATTTTGGCTCTATTTGTTGTAAGTTGGCAATTTGAAGAATTGTATAGTTCATAATTTTGACTGGGAGTTTATCACACCCATAACCAGAGGGGCACGGGGGGAACTCGAGCCTACCTCACCGAGCACCAATATAATGTGCATCCATAACCATGCTATTATGCGTAAATGGGCCGAAAAGGCCGCCATGACCATCAATATGCATAACCTCTGTCTACAAGCCTCTAAGGAGTACATAAACACCATAAGGTCGGGACAGCGTCCCGCCATACCCAACTATGTACATATATGAAACCATCATACCTACCAGCTCACTTGAAAGCTCCGGAAGAAAGGAGCGTGACAACCTTCAGCTGAGTTGAGTCACATATTGTGAAGTATCGTTTGAATCACTATTTGTATCTGCAGGCATGAAACATAACGCCCCAACAAGGGGTTGTCAATACGAATGATGTACTGAATATGTAAGGCAGGTAAATCACATAAATAGAAGATAAAATACGAAGGAAGAGTACAGAAGTCAACCTGAAACTCATAACAAGCCTCTGAGAGCATACACTGTCACAACCATAGATATATATGCATGCCTGTAAAAATCAAGGCACTCAACATGGCCAAATAATATAGTATCAAGTTACTCTCTAGGGCAATTTATGTTATAACATAACGTACCCGGCCTCGAAGAGGACTCGGTCGTACCCAGCCTTAATAGGACTCGGTAACGTCTCATGTCATATCATAATGTACCCGTCCTCGAAGAGGACTCAATAATACCAACTGATTAGTGGTTGTACGATAGGTGTCGTACCCGACTGATTATAGCGCGACTCGATATATATATGCAAGACCGGCAATGCAAGACCGACCACAAGCGATATCATGAATCCGAAAGAATGCCATCGGAAGGAAATACATAAGAACATGATCAATCTTTTGTCAGGGAAGACTTAAGACTATCCAATCTTGCTATATGAAGATTATTTTAAAGTGCCAAGAAAAAAAGTAGCCTTACATAACTTGTGTCGATATCTCATAAGTACTCGAACGCTTAATGAACGACAATCTACATCATACGAATGATTTGGATCAATAGCAACTCAATAAACTATTAGTCATTTTATTTAGACATTTCATCAGACACTTTGCGTACATAGAACTTTCATAGTCTTTAACAATGGAAACTCAACAACAATATAACCTTTTCAACTCTAATTTATCTCCTTATTTTCCTTATTCATTAACTACTAATATTCAAACGAGCGGCTCAACAACAATAACATTCTCAACAAGCTCTTTAAAAAATTCAACAATCATAACAAGCGGCAGCCGGCAAGCTCGGTTTTACGATTAACAAACTAAGGGTGTGTTTGGTACGAAGGAAAATGTTTTCCATGGAAAATGTTTTCATGGAAAATGAGTGGTTTTATCACTTATTTTCTCTTGTTTGGTTGGTAAGTGGAAAACATTTTCCGGAAAATATTTTCTATTGTTTGGTTAGAGAGTAGAAAATAGTTTTTTTTTAGGAAAATATTTTTTATGCAACTCTCCTCACCCCTCCCCTCCCCCTCCCACCTCCCACCCTTCCCGAACGTCTCTAAAATTGACACAATCTAAAGGAACT